CCCACCCACCCATCCATCCATCCATCTATCCATCCATCCATCCATCCATCCCCATCCTCCCATCCACCCATCTCTCCATCCATCCTTCCATCCACCCATCTCTCCATCCATCCATCCATCCATTCATTCATTCATTCAGGCCGTTTCTGCGGCGACTCCCCCCTCCGACGACCACGTACTACGAGAAGGTGAGTATCCGGTTCCGGACCGACCAGCACACCGTGGCTTCCGGATTCCGGTTCAGCTGGACTTACCTCCACGCTGAGACCTCCCCGGTCCCGCCTATGCCGACCACTCCGGAACTGCCTAAGACGACCACTCCGGAGCGCCCAATGGAGTCTACTACCTATCCACCGGAACCCACCCAGGCTCCTACCACAACTTATCCACCGGAGCCCACTCAGTCCCAGCCCTAGCCGACGGCGCCCAGGCCGACCACAGTTATACCTATCTAACCAGGTATGATGTTTCAACATCACAGACGATCATCTCACACTAGCTCAGAGTCTCATTTGGGAAAGTATTCCAAACTGTGATAAAATTTTTGATACTCGTATATCCCGAAGGAGTCTTCAGCAGGAATTGTTCGGGATATGCAAAGGTATTAACAGTAACGTATACGTAGGGGAGGAGGTTTGGGAGGTAAAAGGGTAAAAGTCAATGGAAGGAGAGGGATGGGCTCCACTTTCAATATTGTGCCCCCCCCCCACACACACACAGGCTAAAACGTCAAAGGTTATGGGACATTAACATGTACCGTATTTACCAAGTGTCATATGGTAAATCTTCATTTCATTATGTTTCAGACGGCAGTGGCAAATGGAGCGATGCAGCTGAAGACAACTTGGGCACGGTCCTCTTTGAAGACGCCAAGAGTCTCTCCTCCATAAAGCATCATATGATTGTGGTTTAGCTTCTTAACCTCCAAGGTTAATAAACTTTGAGCCAGATGTGCAGTGTGTGTATGTGTGTGTGTGTGTGTGTGTGCGTGCGTGTGTGTGTGTGTTGTGTGTGTGTGTGTGTGTGTGTTGTGTGTGTGTGTGTATGTGTGTGTGTGTGTGTGTGTGTGTGTGTGTGTGTGTGTGTGTGTGTGTGTGTGTGTGTGTGTGTGTGTGTGTGTGTGTGTGTTTGTGTGTGTTTGTGTGTGTGTGTGTGTTTGTGTATGTGTGTGTGTACGTGTGTGTGTGTGTACGTGTGTCAGTGTGTGTGTGTGTGTGTGTGTATGTGTGTGTGTGTGTATCGTGTATGTACGAACACAAGCTCTTGTTGATGACTCTCGCGTTAACCCAACTTCCTGTGTCTGACCTTTTGTGGTCTGCGGTTAGTGATCCCCCATTTACATGCTATTACTCAACTCTACATAACCAAATACACAAACTCAAACACACCTAAAACAAGACCTCCATTTTTTTTCAAAGAGGTAACAAACTGCCATGGGGCGAATAACCATTTCTGTATCATTAAAAAATTTAGAAGTTACAACCTTATAATGACCTTATACAATCTTATTTAAACCTTGCTGGTTTGAGCTGGGCACGGAACAAACCAAAAGACCACTTCACCTTCCTCAGCAAAACATAAGGACCTTTAGGGTAGTAGTGTGAAGGTGACTTGGCCTTCAAAACCCGTAACGTTTGCTTATTACCCGTTTTGTTTGGCGATCTTGTTTTCAAATAGGCACAGCGGGTCTTATAACAGGGGCATCTAGACAGAGTAAACATGCCGCCCTCTTACATCAAGTATTGGGGGTCACAAATAGGCAACACGCTGTAACAAATAGTACCCAAGTGCCTCCGGCGTTATATAATACGTTTATAACAATGATTAAACATGCGGTAAATCATTATATGGTACAAGGGTGCTTCACAACAGACCTACCCGGCGATACGCCCCTTTTGCCAACAAACTTAAGTGCGTGTTCGCTCGGTCATCCACTAAAATTCTCTTCCAATCCTTACTCCATTTCCTGCTTACACAATCAATCTAATAATACAATAAACAACTTGTAGCTAAACTGATTCATTCATGTATTGCCTGAGATAGTTTGTTGTTGGCTTCTGTAGAACAAAAAAGAAAACGTTACCCCCTTCTTTAAACAATGGACGGTTCTGTAACTGGAGCAAAGGCAACATAGCACGGTAACCCAGCCGTGCAGGGATCATATAACACTTTGGAGACCTGGTAAGGTGAGTAAAAACTTCGTCTCCTTTTTTTCCCCTGCTTTAGACACACTTTAAGTTTTACCAGTTTGCCATGTACCATATAATAGGGTCTCGTCCAGTTCTATTTAGCTCGTCATAACTTGGTGGTAAGGCAGAGAAAGAAATGAAGGGGCTTAAAGTTTTGGTGACCCCTCCCACATCATTTTGTGGTCATCTAAGACGGCGCATATGGATATAGTATGCAAATCATCAGTGTTGAATATTAAAGTGAAATTCTGCCACCAAGGGATAGGACTTCCACACATACACTATATGTGATTTAAGTAGAGAAGACCATACATTGAAATAGATTATGCTAATTGAAACCTTATTTCCATTATCAGCGAGGCAAAATAAAACGACACAATTTGCTGCAAAATTCTTTTAAAAATTCATAGATGTATAAGGTCTCAAAACTCTTGTTTTCTCGAGTCTGTGCGTGTGGTTGCGGTGATCAATTGAAGAGGCTGGTGGGTTGAGTGAGGCATAAATTAGACCCGCCCTGTCCAGTGGCTAATCTAAATCTTTTATTGACCCACAAAAACGTACAGGGACTTTCGGAATAACACCCACGATTTTACAGAGTATCCGTAACACATAGGAGGAGACAAAATTCAATGAATGTCACTTTTCAATAGAATCTTATACGCAGTTTTCTTTGCACATTTTTGTGTGTATTTTCCGATATTTACCTAGTTGTTCAGTGGTCAGAGAGGCTGCTCTGTTTGTTTAAACACGCTTTAATTGTGATAAGCAGAGCGTGATATTTACATATCGTGCGCATAGAAATTCACATTGAAGAAAACACGAATTTCACAAAAATTCACGTGAACTTGGAGAATGATCGTAGAATGAGTTTTGTCTGTTATGTTACGTACATGTGTAAAGACATGTTAGTCGAAGAACAAATATGAAGGTCATTAGACGTCCAAGCACAATGGTTCACCTTGTCCAACCTTCGACATGTTAAGACATGCAAGGTTGGCAAGCACGTACCTTAACTGACAAACATATTTGCTTGGTCGCAATAGGTTCAACTAAGGAGACCCATTGTACGAGACTATTTTAGTACGTGCCTGGGGTTGTTCAAACACACACATTAGTCAGGGTATACACAAAAAGTACAATGAACAATCTGATTTTCTTATGGTAGTTTCTGTGCATGTTGTCAGGTAATGCACATGTGCATGTCGTGAAGCAAGTGGCCCGTCAAGTCAGACGACAGAAACCAAAGAGAGGAAAGTTTGCAGAACGACAGCAATGGGAGAGAAAGAAGGTAAGAAGCAAGCTAGTTATCTCCGTGTGTATATATATATATATTGTACACACACACACACACACACACACTGTAAATTGTAATTGAAATTGTAGCTATGTACCAATAGATATACTTTGTACCCTGTACAATTGTTGTGCAATAATGGTACTAGTATTCCTCCCAGCCTGTCCAAGTATCCCCACCCTCGCACTATTTTATCAGTAGGTTAGCCTTATGAACATTGTAATTATGTGCCAGTAGATGTCATACTTTGTACCCCGTACAATTGTTTATCTATTTAATGCAACATTTCATGACAAAACAAGTTGATGACATACTCAAGCTTATGGCTTATGTTCGTGTCGTCATCGAAAGAAAGCAATTATTACAGAACGTACAGTTGTTGTGCAATAAACTTATTGTCCTTACACGTGTAGATCCGAGCTCATCCCAGGCAACCATGCCGGAAGAGAAGGCGGTAGAATGCGGCATCGGCCCCGTCAAGCCCCGCTGGATGAGGCGGTGTGCTGACGTCAGGTGCATGGTCGCCATGATCTGTGTCTTCAACTTTCTTACGGTACGGTGTCAACTTCATACACCTGGAATAATTATGTTTACCGCAGGAAAACATATTGTTTTTGCTTTGTTTCTTCTTCTTCTCCAAACAAATGAGGTCAATGGCCTGAACCAGCCGTCTGGCACCATGGTAACTAGTGTTAGGTTACATCATGTTACAATTTTATAGCAGGAGTGATTTAGACTCCTGTCTGACCATATATAAGAATGTGTTTAAACAAGAATGAAAGAACACTGACACAAAATAACTTCAAAATCTACAAAATGGAAGAATTATAAACCCGAAAGACCTTGAATTTGGAAGGACTGTCTCTAGTGCAAATGCGATAGATAAAAGATAGATAAGGACATGATCTTTTGCATGCTTTGCACAGAGAGAATCAGAAATAATTGTAATTGTTAAAAATTGTTAAATTGTATGTGCATGTGTGTGATGTCAGTGTATGCCCAACACGATAGATGACATGTAGCATATATAGTGTTACGAAGAAAACTAGTCAGTGATTGATAATCTCACTGAATGAACTTCAACAAACTTACAATTTATGGCAGTTAATCAGCGATTCTAATTAGCCCATGTTGTTTATGTTTAGTCCTCCGTTCACTTCGGCTACCTGAATGGCGTCCTGACCACCATAGAGAAACAGTTCGGCATCAGCAGTTATCAGTCCGGCCTGATCAAGAGCTGTAAGGAGATAGGAGAACTGTGCATCGTGCTCTTCGTCTCGTACTTAGGAGGAAAGTAAGTGTGAACGTTTTTATTTATTAATTCACATATAATCAACGAGTAGCAGGCAAAAAATCACAATAATTACTTAAAGAAATCCAAGAACATATTAAATATAAAGCGAGTAAAACATAATAAAAAAACACGTACATAATTCCAAAATGGACAAAAGAAATATGAATGTAAACAAACACAAGTTGTGATTTTTTTTGTCAAAATCGCGAAAGTAAACCACCAACATTTCGGATTTACAGTATGCGAATGCAAAAATTGACGCCTTTCTTTGGCAATACATGTACTATCCCAATTCACCTGTTTCAAGTGCTTTCAATCACCTCCTCTATTCAACTATGTTTATCTAGTTTATAGAGTTATACAGTTTATAAAGTATATCTACTTTACATGAACCTCCTTGATATTATATCTATACAAACTACATTATGTTTTGATGCCCCCCCTCTTGCCCTCTTTCCCCCAATGTCAAAATTGTGGTCGACAATTCACCTTTGTATTGCACAAATACTGTCTCTAGACTTTACAGCGCAAATATTTGCAGGCGTGTCGACAAGAAAGAATGATGACGAAGACTCCATTTGTAACTTTGACCTTTGTGTTCCCTTCTAGAGGTCACCGTCCGGTCGTCCTGGGCGCGACCATTTTCCTGACGGGGGTGGGCATGACCATGTTGGCTATACCACACTACCTGCTTGGCCTGTACGATTACGGGAACAACCAGAACGGGACGTTGGGTGCGGGGCTGTGTCCTGCACCAATCAACGAATCAGGTTTGTAAAATAAAATAAAAATTATTCTATTAGACTTTAGAATTAGCCTGAAATCCAGGCTGTTGCCAGGGCCTACACAGGATATCTTTTCAGCACCAAGGCCAGATTCGGTGTATTGACCACGTTCACATTGATGTCTAAATTACAAAGGTAACTTTTGCAAAGCAAATAACATATTATGTTTACCTTCACAAGGCCTAGCCAAACAAACTACTTCTCTGTTTATTCTTAAGCTTATTTCAACAACACATTCATGTTTTGACAATCCATACATTGTGAATATAGGACAGTATTTTAAAGAATGTCTAAACGTTATAAATTCTTTTAATGATTGTATAAGCGCCTTTTCACCCCATATCACCTAGTATTGTACTACGTAGACTGATTTGTTAGATTTGTTCTCTCATTTCTGCCATACTTTGTACCTTGTACATTGTTGCGTAATAAAAGTCTATAAAGGACTGCTTTGTATATGGTGACCAGCCCTCCAACTTGCTACATAATATAATCCACAGGGTGTCTAGTACAGCAGTAGAAAAGGACTATTTGTAGTGTTTACTCAAGTGACATCACTCTCTTTTCCCAACATTATTTTTTCCTTCACATCATTAGTTTCTGACCCAGTCTGCCTTGCCGGAAGTGGAAGCGGAAGTAGTTCCGACACTTTGATCTATTTCATGTATTTCGGGATGGTTCTGAGCGGCTTCGGTCCGAGCGCCTTCACGACAATTGGCATCTCCTACATGGACGACCATGCGCCGAAGAAAACATCACCTCTGTACTATGGTAGGTTCTAAAATATACCGTACAAATGCATTTGTTTTGATAGCGTACGGAGGTGTTGTTGTTTGTTTGTGTGTGTGTGTTTGTTTGTGTGTGTGTGTGTGTGTGTGTGTGTGTGTGTGTGTGTGTCGCTATGTGCGCGTGTTTTGTGTGTGTGTGTGTGTGTCCCTATGTGCGCGTGTTTTGTGTGTGTGTGTGTGTGTGTGTGTGTCGCTATGTGCGCGTGTTTTGTGTGTATATGTGTGTGTGTGTGTGTGTGTGTGTGTGTGTGTGTGTGTGTGTGTGTGCGTGTGTATGTGAATGCAACACGTGTGGTAACCGCAAATTGATTTTGACGTCAAGATGGCAGGCTGTGTGGAAGCGAGTCTTAGGTCGTATCAGAACAAGCTCTTAGTCTGCCAGGTTCCTTCAAGGGCGGTGAAAGTACTCGTACCTAATACTATGTCTGAAGTAGTTTACTCACAAAAAAGCAAATCAAGCAGCAAAGGGCCTCCAATGTTTAGCGGCAGTGCGAAGTGGAACCAGTTAGTATTGTATTAAAGATGACAGACGGCCAATAAAACATTGGCCAACGGTTATGTACTAGGTATATACAAAGAGGACAAAATGTTATTACGTTTCAGGTATCATCTACGCCTGTGGATCGGCAGCGGCGGCCCTGGGTTATGTGGTCAGCTCCGTCCTCCTGTCCTTCTTCGTGGACTTCGACAGAGTGGACACCTCTTCAGTCACCATCAATCCATAGTACGTACATATGTACTATTGCATGATCTTCTTGGGCCCTTGTCGTCTTGCCAGACGATCTGCAGATTCAGTCTGGCTGGGCAGCGCCTCTCGTGGCTGGTACAGCCGATTCTGGGCCGGCAGGCTCTGCCGCAGAATCGGCAGCAGTACTCCTGTGTGGCGCTTTTCTCCTCTGCGAGTCCCTTTCGTCTGCTCCTTACGTCTGCTTTCCTGCTCTCTCTAGCAGCTTTGAACAGTTCTGTCCCTTTGTGTATCGCTGCTTTCCACTTACTTCTGTCGCTTACTACCTTCTCCCAGGACTCAATGGAGAAGTCTCGGAGAGTGGCTTTGCACATATCCTTATTGCATGATAGTGAACATATTATAGAGTAATGTATGAACAATACCTCACTGTACTTGTATGATGTACATTAGAGATGCTTAGGAAGATGAGCACATCGACAGAACGGTGCATAGAATTGCGCCAGAACGCCTTGTTGAAGGTAGTACTCGCGTATTTAATGATGACATTCCGTTTGTAGTTTTCAAATGTTGTCTTAAAAAACCTCGTCTACAACAGGCTGCTAGTAGTGGATGCTACCTGAAATGTCTGACCGTTTCCAAAATCATATCCAGTTGCTTGAGTAAATTTTGTTTGCCGTATCTTCTTACCTGGATGTCTAACCTTCACCGACGAAAGTTGAATATATTGTTTATGAAATAGCTTTTACTTATTTTCTGCAGCGACTCCCGGTGGATCGGTGCGTGGTGGCTGGGGTTCCTGTGTGTCGGCGTGCCGTTAGTTCTCGTCTCCTTCCCCTTCTTCTGCTTCCCCAAGTCTCTCCCGATCCCACCGGAAGAGGAGGAGGAGGAAAACGAAAAGAACGTCAAGGAAGAACCGCAAAGTCGTCAAGACCCAGGACTTATCAAAGGTAAGTACTAACTACATATAAGGTGTTTGCACCCACGTGACTATGACGTAGGTATTTCCGCTATGTAGAAAACGGGACCCAGAAGCTGGTCGCCATGGTTACTGGTGGTGTTTGATTTCACCATGTAGCAAACATGGAGACGTCACCATGGTTACTGGCGGTGTCTGATTTCACCATGTAGCAAACATGGAGACGTCACCATGGTTACTGTTGGTGTTTGATTTCACCATGTAGCAAACATGGAGACGTCACCATGGTTACTGGTGGTGTTTGATTTCACCATGTAGCAAACATGGAGACGTCGCCATGGTTACTGGTGGTGTTTGATTTCACCATGTAGCAAACATAGAGACGTCACCATGGTTACTGGTGGTGTTTGGTTTCACCATGTAGCAAACATGGAGACGTCACCATGGTTACTGGTGGTGTCTGATTTCACCAATGTAGGAAAGAAGACCCAAAAATTGTCACCATGTGGCAAGATAAAACTTCAACATTAAAATCAGTGGTATCAGCATGCTTCAACGAAAATATAAATTCGTTTGAAGAAGAAAAGCAGAAACATAGAAATAACCAAATTACTTATTGCTTGATCAATTGAATGGAAAATTTTTGTATTCGCAAATCCCAAACTTATACCCTTCTTGTTCTCAGGTATTTTTGTCCAAGGCTGGAGTCTCCTGACGAACGCTGTCTATATGACGATGTTGTGCGCCAGTATCTTTACTGTAGCCCTGCTGCAGGGGTTCACGCTCTACACGCCTAAACTGGTGGAGGTGAACTTCGGCCTGACAGCATCGGCAGCCAGTCTCTTTACTGGTATGTGACATCAATTGTTATTGAAGACCCCCTCATTGAACAGTCAATCAAACATTATAAGTGATGGCACAAAAGAAGAATTCGGGGATTTCAGATATCCGGGAAGATGTGTGTGTATATAT